TAATTTAAATTTTGAATTATTGTATGACGTATTTATCGTGTTGGTCTAACCGAAATAGTAAAATATATAAAATAATAATATAATATGTTGTTTGGCTTAACCGAAATGGTAAAGAACGTAACCAAAAATTAGATTGAATAAGTTATTCTTATTCGTTAACCGAACCGTCTTGGTTTGGTTGGGTTATTTGGTTTCGGATTTTTTTGACACCCTTATATGTTGCGGTTCTCTTGATCGGGTTGATGATATTTGAACAACTCAACCCAATCCAACCCAACCCAAAGTACAACTCAAACCAAACGAGTTGGTCGGATTGATACTTTGATACATCAAATATTATTCTAATCTTGAATATATGGTTTTGTCTACTTTACTCATAATTTCTTTTTCATCATCAGTCATTTGGTACAACTTATACATACTTCTTATGTCTTAAATATACCACATTCAATAAATTTTCTCAATTTACACACACACACACACATATATATATATATATATATATACACATACGTTCACAATAATTGAACATATATAGAGATGGAGAATAAATTAAAAATATATGTATATAAAGAGGGTATGTGATGATGTAATTGTCTAATGTGCATATAATAGAGACTCATCAATCATATTAAATCCAAAAATTAAAAGGATATCAGGTTCATCGAATTGTGTTGGGTTCAAATAAAAATAACCCAATATCAACTCAATACCTACAGTTTAACGATTTTACAACTCGATTAGACATCGAGTTGAGTTATTTCGTGTTGGGTTAGGTGATTGGGTTGGTAAGATTTTTTAGCACCCCTACTTACATGTGCCTTCGGTCGCCTAAGTTTTTGGATCCGCCACTCTTGATGCGACTTTTAAATGGGATACAGAGACTCTCGCATGTATATGCATGTTTCGAGCATGATATACTTTTTTTTATAAATGTCATGTATATTACTAATGTTAAACATTTTATAAACACATGGTTTTTTATTTGGATTAAGATTCTGATTTGTATGAATCTGAATTGCAGAGAGAGATATGGATGGTGTTACTATGCTTGTTCATGTATGAATCTGAGTTGTTCATGTTCATTTACATTGTTCTGATTTGGTGGGTTTGGTGGTTGTCATCGATGGTGAAAGGTGGTGGTGGTAAAAGGTGGTGCCGGATGGCGATTGATGGTGTTGGTGGTCATTGTTAATTGAGTTGACGAAGAAGAAATGAAGGAAGCAGACGAGTAAATTGACAAACTTGCCTATGTTACAAGAGGACATGTGACTGACTTAATAGATCTCAAGTTGAAAATGTTAATTTAAGGGACCAATACGTTATTTGAAACAATAAAGAGAAAATATACTTAATGAACTTTGTGGGCCACAATAAAAAGAACAACCAAACATGAACCAACGATGTAACCACTTGGGTTTGTGGCGTATTGGTCAAGTCTCAGGGGGATGTAGTGGATAATCTCATCTACCCTGGGTTCGAATACAGACGCTGTCAAAGCCCCTTGTGACCATGGAGGTTCATCTGCGCCGAGGCCATTAGTGTTAAAAATGTAAAGCCATGTATATCACTCGACCTTATGCTTATAAATGTATGCATATATATCATACATGTGAGAAATAATGCAAATGAGGCATCAAATGGAAGGAGTTGGATGGACCCAGAAAATGGATGTAGACTGAATGCAAGTGTTGGTGAGAACTCGTAGAATGTACTAAGGACACACGTAATAGAATGGCTCAATGTATGAACAACATCCATCAATGATATGGTTTTCGTCGAATTCCTTAGTCTATAATGTAAGGTTTATTTAGGACACATTTTATTATGAATCTGTTTGTGGCAAGTGACATAGAAAAGTGTATGGAATCGTTTTCTCTTTGTTCTATATGATACTAATGTGAAAAGCTTACGAAGAAAATGAAGTTGAGGGGTAAACTTATATATCATCGTGTTTGAGATTGCTTGTTTTAAACTGCGTATTGACTTATTCTGGTTTGGTATTGGTAATAAGCAGTTTTTAATGTTTGGATTGGGAAAAAGAAACAATGTTATGTCAAACCGGTAATAAGAAGTTTTTGATAAGTTACTGCCTTACAACTTATTAGATTCAACTTATTAGCTTTGAAAACCAATTTACCCTTTTAAACCCTAAACCAGTTCCTCCTTCCTCATGAACACAGTTCACGAACTTCATCTATAGAAATCAAAATCGACCTTCAAGTACAAGAAATCGACCTTCATCTACAAAAATCAAAATCGACCTTCAAGTACAAGAAATCGACCTTTAGGGTGCGTTTGGTACGCAGACAGGACAGGACAGGACAGGACGGGACAGAACAGGACAGGACAGGACAGGACAGGACAGCTGTTCAGCGTTTGGTAAGACATGATAGGACTGGACAGAACTGGTTAAAATGACCAATTTACCCCTATTGAGTCAATCCTAGAATTCTAACCACCATGATCAAATTAATCTACCATCAGATTCTAANTAGGGCTGTAAACGAACCGAACGAACACGAACGGAGGCTTGTTCCTGTTCGTTCGTTTAACTTAACCGAACAAACGAACGAACACGAACGGTAAACGAACGAAAATAATTGTGTTCGTGTTCGTTCGTTTAGAAATACGATGTGTTCGTGTTCGTTTATGTTCGTTCGTTAACAAGTTAAACAAATGTAAACGAACGAACATAAACGAACAGTCTTAACGAACATAAACGAACATGCCTAAATGAACATAAACGAACATAAACGAACAGTCTTAACGAACATAAACGAACATGCCTAAACGAACATAAACGAACAGCCTAACGAACATAAACGAACATAAACGAACATGCCTAAACGAACATAAACGAACAGCCTAACGAACATAAACGAACATGCCTAAACGAACATAAACGAACATGTTTTAAAACCCTACAAAAAGCCCAAATATTAAAAAGCCTAAACTCTTTTAAAAGCCCAATAAATAAAAATGTTTTAAAATTTAAATTCAAACTAAATAAATAAAAATTATATATTAAAATTAATAAATAAACGAACATAAACGAACGAACGTTAACGAACATAAATGAACGCACGTTCACGAACGTAAATGAACGAACGAGACTCTTGTTCATGTTCGTTCGTTTAACTAAACGAACGAAAAAATTTGTTCATGTTCGTTCATTTATTAAATAAACGAACATAAACGAACGAACGTTAACGAACATAAATGAACGCACGTTCACGAACGTAAATGAACGAACGAGACTCTTGTTCATGTTCGTTCGTTTAACTAAACGAACGAAAAAATTTGTTCATGTTCGTTCATTTATTAAATAAACGAACATAAACGAACTTCCCGCCGAACGGTTCACGAACGGTTCGCTGAACGTTCGGTTCGTTTACAGCCCTAATTACAGCAAATCATACACATAAAATCGAACAACAAATCGAATCAAACAGTCGAGTTAGGGCAAATCATACACAACAAATCGTCGAGAAGGAGATGAAGGTACAGTCGTCGAGATGAAGGAGATGCCGGCGAGATGGAGCGACGGGGAAGACCGGCGAGATGAAGCGACTTTGTCGGGAAGGAGATGAAGGTACAGCCAGCGAGATGAAGCGACGGGGAAGACCGGCGAGATGAAGGGACTTCGTCGGGAAGGAGATGAAGGTACAGCCGGCGAGATGGAGCGACGGGGAAGACCGGCGAGATGGAGCGACGGGGAAGACCGGCGAGATGAAGCGACTTCGTCGGGCGGCGAGATGTTTGTACAGCCGGCGAGATGGAGCGACCGGCTCTGTGTAGGCGATAGGAGAAGGCGATAGGAGGGAGGGTTCAGATGGGTATATTAGTAAAATGCTACCTTGTTCCACATAGTTCCAGGGGTTGAGGGTGGACAAGCTTGTCCCACACGGGTTCCACTTAGTTCCACTTAGTTCCACTTAAAAACACACCAAACATGGGACAAGTGTGTCATGTCCTATCCTGTTCCACGTACCAAACGCACCCTTACCTACAAAAAGCGAAATCTAAATCAAAATCGAAATCGACCTGCAGACATCAAAATTGAAATCGACCTACAGAATTTGAAATCATACGATGCGAGAAACCTTAGCGTAATAAGAGATCGAGATCGAAATCGAAATTGTAGAGGGGAGAGGAATGATCTGCCGCCGACTTGGGATATTTCTTCGGTGCTTGATGGAATGAATCTCTAGGTGAGGATTGGGAGGGCATCAAGTAGCAAAGAGAAAAGGGTGGGTGAAATCGTTGAAGCTAAGAGGAATGGTCTGTAGAGGGTATGTTTGAATTTTGTGTTTTTTTTTTGTTATGAATGTCATTTTTGATCATTTTACATGTACAAGTAAAATTTGTTAAAACAGTATAAAAAAAAAACAACTTATCAGCTTATTACATTTTGATACTGTTATAAGTTAATCCAAACACTTTTTATAAAACTCTGGTTTAACACCATATAAGTTGATAAACGCTTTTACCAAAAAAAACATAATTTGTTTTAGATAAGCAATCCCAAATCAGTGACGGACCTACAGTAGAGCATATGGTAGCTCGTGCCATCGTATTATTCCTTTATCGAAGAGTACAATTTTTTAGGTTCGTGAAATGTGCAACCGTATTAATTTGTTGTATGCTACCGTATGTATTTTGAAACTACAATGAAAACAAGTTTTATTTGATAAAGTTGGTTTGCAAGACTTTTATTCAACTCCAGACCCAAGTTTGAATCCTCTTAGTGTTATTTTTTAATCAAATGATGTCATAATTTATAAAAAAATTATATATATTTATTTCTTATAATTAAATGATGTTAGCCTTTAATTTTCATTATCAGTGTTGTATAATATTCTCAGTAGAGTCAACAATTTTGACCAACTGTGTTATTGGCACACATACGGTTAGACCGCGCACCTCACACAATCAAAACGACATCGTAACCTTTCCCTGAAAGCAGGTTAGGTCTGGACAGCGCCATGATACCATCAAATATAAAAGTCCCATCTTCCGGAATCCACAGCTTTATTACCAGAAAAATTAACCAACTTATTCAATCGAAAACGGGTTAATTTTTCTTCAGTGATCCATTTCGAAATTTCATTTTGATTTTGGAGGAATTGTTTGTGAGTTAGGGTTTGTTTGATTTTGGGGTTTTTCATTCATTTATTGTTTGTAAGATTTGATCATAGATATTTGCTCCCAAATCGGTACATTGTTTTTTGTTAAAGAGACCGTGGAGAGCTATGACGTCACATTTCGAACGATGGGAGAAAGATCCATTCTTTCCTGCTGCCGAAGAAGTTCAGGAATCTGCCGACAGGTTTGAGTTTTGTTGATTAGGGTTTATTTCTTATTTCTTATTTGTAGTTGTAGTTTCTCTGGCAGGTTTAGATGTATGCTTATTTACTCGTGATTGAGATTGTTAAATTGATGGTTGTAGGATGGAATCAACATACAGAACATTGCTTCACGCATTGAAAGAACCTTCTGCGTGGAAGACAGAAGAACTTCGAAGGGATTTACGTACTGCCCTTGGCACTGCAAAATGGCAGGTGATGGCACGCCATTTCTGTTTTCAGTCCATATAGATGATCAATATCTTCCTATTTATGTGATCTGAAACAAGTGGCAGTATATTAATAAGGTTTTTCTGTACTATCTCTATGAGATATTACATTGGGCCTCTTGTTTAGCCTTGAGTGGCACCTGAGGCAACATTAGTACTTGTCATATTATGGTGTTTTGTCACCATTGAATGCCTTTTTGTTGTTTTGACAAATTTAATGACCTATTAGTACCCTACTAAGGTGAATGTTTTTGCAAGGGCTGAAGTTTCTGGTGCTACTTGTGGAGCAACCTGTGTGGCTGTGTGTATGGGGCATTTATTTTTTGGACATAAATTTGTTGTGATATTGGTTAGTGTGACATTTTTGCAGTTGGAAGAATTTGAAAGGGCTGTTGACCTAAGTTACGGCAAGTCTTTTAGCGACAATGCCAAAACCAGACATGGTGAATTTATTAGTGCAATGGAGAGCCAGATTTCGAAAGTTGAAAGATGTTTGGATGAATCAGCTGTTGCCACAGGAAAGCCTCCTCGTCCTTGGGTACGCCTCAATGAAGGAGAAAGCAAGGAACTTGCTTTATTTCTTTCAGGATCAGCTTCGTATGGTAATGAAAAACTTGCAGAAGTTAGCTTCAATGATGACCAAAGACAGAAACAGGAAGTACTTGAGCAATCGACGCCTGAATGCTCCAAGAATCTCTCTCATCCGGTAGGGAGGGGTTCAGTGGATAGTCATGCGAACAAGTTTTCTGGGCACAGAAGGACAGCAAGTGCTGGTGCTGACCTTGGTGCCTTGAAGATTGTGATTGCTGATGATGTTTCTCTTCACGGTGTTGATGGAAAAACAGAGCAACCCCCTCGGAAGATACCCAGCTTCTCTGGGTTTTTGAATACCCTGGAATCTGCATCAAAACTAAAGTGGTCTAAGAATGGTTACAGGAAATTGAAGCTTATAGATCACCGTCATGAAGCTGACATTAAATTGCCTGAGACTCAGACTGGGAGCAGAGTGAGTGTTTATTCAGCTTTTACATGATTCAAGTGCAGTCATTTTTTCACAATTGTAATGTGTTGTATTGTTATTGATGGTATTTTCTTTTTCCTGAAAGGGCACTAATGCATGCTATGAAAGGAGTAAGAGTTGTCTTGAGAGTGGTGATGACTGTTACCGCAAGCAACTATATGGGTGGTACGGTGCTATTCAGAGACAGTTTCAAAGGTCACAATACTATGTGCAGTATAATCGGCCAACTCAAATGGTACTGTGGGCACTTGTCCTGATTTTCTTGTTTGGTAAGTTTGCTTTCCTATGGCAAAACTTGCTTGTTAGTGCTAATCTTTCCGTCTCCATCTATAGTTCTTAAAAATGTGCTCAGAACCATGCATTTGTTCTCATCTGTTGTTTACCAACGCTACAAAACTCCTTGAGCGCTCTAATTTTTCTTCCAAATTTGTTACATTTGCTTGCTAGCATATGATTAGTTTCATTTTTAGCCTATGCAACTACTGTGGGATCAAAGGCCTGGTGCTTTTGGTTGTTGGCAAATTAAAGCTCTAATTAACTGAATATAAATATGCTGAATACCATATGAAGGTTGTAGGAGTGCTATATATAGAGGCAGGTATGACTCCTCAAATTTTCTGTTCCTCTTCCAACTTCTTCCACTTCCCCTCTGATAGTTACTTCTTTCATGGTGTACTCAAGGGCCTGCATATGTTTGCAAGTGGTTCTCACTCTTTCGTGGTTTACCAAAATTTTTGTTTGTCCCTCACATTTGTCTGATCATCATTATTTATTTTGGAAATTGCTTTCTATGCAAAAAAGGATCTGGATGCTTTTAGAGTGGGGTGTTTGCAAGCTTGTATAGTGTTGTCATCTAGAATAGAAGATGGAGGTTCCAATAATTTCGAAGTTACTCTGATTTGTGTTTTAGCTCTACATTTTTCAACCTTGATACTTAGCTTCCACACATTTCTATCGTAAGAAGTGGTTTTATAGATGTTGTGGGAATTTCTCTCCTTTTCACATTAAGAGATTCTTGTTGTGTGGATGATCAATATGTTCTAGTGCTTCTTTGTCTAATCATGTCATACTATTCAAATCTATTGTTAAAGGAAAAACATTTCAGAGGAGAGGGTAAATTGTCAAACAATTGTACCCCAACAAAGAAGCACCTACTGGAATGAGGTTGACCCGACTTGAGGGATCTTGTTTGTGAATAGATGAACGAATATAAGACGACTATGACCTTTGTGCAGACCTTTGTGATTTGAAGGTAAAGTGCCATCCATCAAGTACTTTGACTAAGATTGATATGTCTCATAGGTGAACCTGGGCATGAAAATCTTAGCTAATTGGATTGGCGACACAAAACCAATATTCGAGTTTCTACCTAAGCTTGGGATATGAGAATCCAATGTTCATGTTTTGGTGGTATTTGTATATGTAACTAGGGTTAATTGCATGAACTTATTTTGTGTTATTGATCATTGAACTTTATAAAACATTTCGTATATGGACAAAATTTCCGGGTAACCGGTAATTCACTGACTAGGATCTGATTGGCTATCATGTTGCTGATGTGGATCTATTAAAATAAAATTAAACATAAATTAAAGTATTTCTAGTTTTAGTTCTTTTATTTAAATTCAAGGTCCCAACCCCACCTTCCCCCTTCCCACCTTGCTGCTGGATGCAGGAAAGGGAACAAACGTCGAGATTGTTCCATAGTGGAAACACATTGATACTAGTTGCGTAGTTGCAGCCGATGTGGTGACGCACAGCTAGGGCTGCACATTGGTTGGGTTGTCTGGGTTGAAGGCATTTGAACAACCCAACCCAATGTTTGCGGTTTGAAAAATCTCAACCCAACCCAAACAAGAGTACAACCCAAAACCCAAACCGTGCCGGTTGGGTTAGCCAGGTTGAAACTTTGGTACATCATTTTACAATTTACCTAAGCGATTGTGTTTAAACGAAGTACATCTAAATGATAACATACAAATAAGGCTAATAATTACATAAGAAATATTAAAAGATATTTGCATGAGGCTTTCTATTAAGGCTAATAGTAACATAGGCAGCTATGTACTCCATTCCTTATGTGGTAAACTGGTAATAGTGTATATGTATGGTTACTCAGGTTGTCAGAACATGCTGCAACAAACTCAGCGTTCAAAGAAGAAGAACAAGAATCAGCAGGCAATTTTGTGCATTTAAAGTTATAGGTCTGCCATAACATGCAACAAACTCATAGAAGAAAGTTGAAGGTTCATGCAAATAAGAAAGTAAATTTATGGTTTTTGATATAGTTATGAATAAAGCTAATTACGGGTTGGTCTAATGTCTAATTTACGTATAGTAATTAAGGACTTAACAATCATATTAAATCCATGGTATAGAAAGGCATCTAATTCATCGGGTTGGGTTGGGTTCAAATGGCCCCAACCTTATTCCAATCAATACGGTTTAAATACGCGTAGCCTTGATATCCTTCATGTTTTTTATGTGGTAATGACATTGATGACTACGTGCACTGGATGGGACTGACAGGCCAAGCTGGGAAATTGGATTTGGCTACGACTTCCTTAACAAGAATAGCATGCTGATTTGATTCAAGTAGCTAATCAAGAAATATCCGCATGCTTGCTCATTATCATCCTAAGTGAGAGCTTAGCCAACGGCACGTGCCTTTGGGGGCTTGCTTGGCTAGAAAGAGAAAGTCTTCAGCCTAGCTCGACTGAAAGGAGAGGAAGCGCGTAAAAGAAAGCCTTTTTTTCGATATTTCTTATAGGCCGTAGTACCTACCCTTAGAAGACAGCTTTCAAAGGCTTTTGAGTAAAGAGACGGGTCTCCTCATTTCCAAATGGGGATAAGCACCTATTGATTCTGCTCCCTACTAGTTGGCCATCTTCTAGTGGTGGTAAAACAGGCGACGAGGAGGATGGTTTGGTGGTCGTGACTTTAGACAGGAAAGCTCTTTTAGTAAGGGCGGTGGTAGCAGTATAGATTACCAGGGTGGTGGATATAGTGGGTTTGTGGTGGTGGTGGTATCAGGTTTTGTGCTCGCAACCAAGTCATAACAGTGAGTTATTGGTGGAGATAATGGTGGTCAATGATGGATATGTTGGGGTAATTGTTTCTAAATGATAGGTTTTCATAGTTTAGTGACTTGGATGGAAAAAGAAAGCCGATTATCCACAATAACAAAAGAGTGAAAGTTGGTTGCTCTTTCATGCAATCAACCTTATTGTGAGAGATTCTATAATACTTATAAAATATTACATGTTAGCCATCCACATTAGCATCTTTGCTGAATTGGATGCCAACTTGGCAAAAGTAATCGGATACTTGATGAACCGGTCATATTTGTCCTGAACCGATAGGTTTCATGAAGTAGACTTGGGTAGGAAATAAGTTGGTTACCCAAAATGTAAAGAAGTATGAAAATTGGTTGCTATTCGTGCAGTTAACCCTTATAACTATGTACTTCTACGATGTCCAGAAGGCTCACTTTGGTTTCAGTTTTAGCCTGAAATGAACTAGTTTGGGTAAAAGGCTTGGTTAGATGGTTTCACGGATAAGTAATTGCTCTGAATTGGGTTATACCCAAATTCTTATTCGACTAATGAAAGATGAATTTGGAAAAATATGAATTTGTCAAAAACAGATGATATAGGGCATATATGAATGCAGAATCAGACCATTAGTCAGAGTTTTCCACATTTAATTACACGCCTTAATAGATCCCATTGCAGCTGCTGAAGATTAAAAAGCATTTTATGAAGTTTGAAAGAGATCTTAGTCATAATGTAGAGCCTTACCTACCTTGCATACGCTCAATCTCTGTCCCCAATGATCATTTTGGGTAACTTCAAATTACATTGTTTGTGGCAATTGTAATGGATATTATTTGGACGTTAACTAGAAAAAACCAAGATATATTCCAATTATTTTAAAACCTTCCTTTCAGATTCCTGCGTTCCCTTTCTCATGTATAGCTTTGATTTCTCCGTTTACAAATTGTACTCCCTCCATCTCATGAAAATTGCAACAATTTTCTCTTTGGGACTTTCTGTGAAATTTGCCACATCTCATTTGTTTTGGAAGCCTTCTAGTTACATTACCTATCTGTCCAATACCGTTTATACGAAGAAAATTATGGCAGTAATTTAGGTTAAAAAGATTTCTATGTTTTGACTGTAGGGTATTTTAGATGTTTGAGGAATAGTCACAACACTTCCCATAAACTTTGCCAAATTACACATGGGAATTTTTATGCAACTGAGTAAGCACAACAAAAAACTTTCTACCTTAAACTAGCTGGGGGTAGGACATGCATGAAACCAGTTATAACGGTGAAACCAATAGGAAGCACCAAAGTCTTCTAGGGTTTATGGACTGAATGCCGTCCTTCAACACACCTGTACCGGAGGCCAAAGGCCGACTCTGTCAATTCCAATGGGTGGAAGTCTCCTATTAGAAGTCCTGCAAACCTCTCGCCATTAGTACCTTTGTCAATCTTGGTCTACCCTACCTCTCTCAACGACCTCCCTTTTATGACAAGCTCTTTATCGTATATGTTGCATTCAAGGGTCTAAGATGAAACTGCCAAATCACCTTTAATAATAGTGCCTCAGCTCTTTGAGCGGTGCCACTTGACCTTCTCCATATATCCTCATCTATGAGCCCGTCTAACATTTTATGCCCACGTATCCACCCCCAACGAGCCTATTTTGTTACACTCGTCTTTTATGGACATGGTCTTTTGGTGGCCCACCCATCTTTCTGTCCTGTGAAATGTAATAGGTCTTATCACCATCCGATTTACAGTTCAACTTTAATGGAAGCTTATGATAATATTCTCCCACAGCTTCTCTTCATTTCATCTACTCACTCTTAACCCAATGGCTTACGTCATTATCAATCTCCCACCCTTTTATATAACGTATTCACATAATGAGATATGTCAGTCCAAATTGATTCTTGCTTGAATATGCTATCTTCTCTTCAATTTTTCATCAAGAAACGGAGAAAAAGGCAAAATCTATTTTGCACCAGGTGGTAAGTCTCCTTGGTGTCCATTAAACATGACGACAAAGATAGATTTCTTGGGAAAAGTGTATCTAATTATCAGGTAAATGGGAAACAAATAAAGTGCTGTGATGAGCAAGGATTGGCATAAATAAAACTCTACCTACAATAATTGCTTGAAAATCTTAAAATAACATAACTAGCTTTATTATTCTAACGAAACGTGGAAAACTTACTTGATGGAATGATATATAGCTCTTTAGGACATTACCCTTGATAGGAGTCATTGGCTACTATGCTGTAATTGTAGTGCTACAACGGTTAGCAGTCCTGGGGAAATAGCAGTGCTAAATAGCTTCTCCGCTAATAGCATGCTAATCACTACAATTGAGCCGCAATTTTGATTTGCGATAGTGGTGTGATAACCGCAATTAGGGGTAGGGATTTCAGTTGAACTTTTAAAGGATTTATCCAATTAAAAGGATTAAGGGGTAGGGCGCCTATTTATTTGCATATTGGTGTGAAAACTCGCAATTCCTCTCTCATCTCTTCTGTTCCAGCATTGTGCATCATCTTCCACTGTTCTGGTCCTTCCGATCTTCACTCTACATCAACAACATCATCTATTCGTCATATCTTTTATTCATCTTCAATATATTTAATATGTTATGTATACATCAATATATATATATATACACACACACACACTTGGGATCATGTGATACCAGGGGTTTTTCGTGAGACCCGTAAGACCAATTCTCAATTCTTGGATTAGATCTACATTCTGACAATCTAAACATTCATAAACGCCACGAGACAATAATCACAAAATTGCCACCGTGCAACTTTAGACCATTAGCTTATAAAGTTGATCAATGAACATAAATTGGTCTTACGGGTCTCATGAAAAACCCCTGGTCTCACGTGAATCCAACCACATATATATATATAATTCTAATTATTATATGAAGTGCTACTTTTGGAAATATGAATTCTATGATACAAGCCTTCCATTGGGAATTGTATAAGCTGATATTTGTTATGGTATTTTGTTGTTTTTGTGGTTGCAGCATTAGTTACAGTGCATGTCATCTGAAGCAGAAGCAGAAGCAGAAGAGGTATGGTCTTAATAGGCAAGAAACAAAAGGGTGTTTTTAAGCACAATGGGTCTGTATAATCAATCAATCATTTAGTTTGTCATAACATATGTCTGTCTAGTTTTGATGAGGTAGGTTACATTACATAAGAAGCAATTATGGATTTGTACAGACGACATTTGTATTTTTCATGTACACGTAAATTGTAAATGTTGTAGGACCAACCATTGCTACTATTCATCCCACTTTGGATATGGAAATTTAGTAACAAATGTATTTCATTTGGAGGATAATCATGATTCCATACAACAAATGTTTCGTATATTATTTATATATATATATATATATATATAAATATATATATATATATGACGTTTTTGAGAAATGTTCATAAAGTTGTATATGGCGTTTCATTTCAAAAATCGTCTTAACAGGTTTGTTAAAACGTCTTTCATATATATATATATATGTATATATTGTAACACATTTACATAGAATATAAATGTTTAGTCTTGTAAAACAATCTATTAGGTGGCGTTTGGTTCGTAGATTCCTTCGGAATCTGATGGAATTAGAATGTTGAATTTCATTGATCAAATTCCATTTCCTCGTTTGGTTCATTCTTTTTCACGAAAGGAATCTTCAAAATCTTACAAATTCCACAAATAAATGAATTTAACATTTCTTAGCAATTACATGGTATTTTGATGGAATGAAATCTCTATCTTCATTATACCAAATATGCCATTAACCTGATATATTCCAATCTCATAAAATTCAATATGACCATCGTCGACCACCTCCGATCACCACCGATCTGAACCACCGCTGACCACCACCACCGACTACCATCGATTTGAACCACCACCGACTACCACATATATGAACAAACGCCGACTACCACCGATCTGAACCACCGTCGACCACCACCACCGACTACCACCGATCTGAACCACCGCCGACAATATTTGAAAGTGTTTTAAATAACAAGTGTCTTGTAAAAACATGTGTTATCATACATTTCTTGAAAATATTATGTAAAAAAACTAATACAACACTATATTTTAAAAACGTCTTAAAAACTTGTTTAAAAATGTCCTAAAAAACTAATTAAAACATCATATATATTGAAGGATTATGTGCTTTCCTCAAAAAGGAAGTGATTGAAATAATAGTTCCCTAAGTAATAGAATTTACCATAATGAACGTTTTTTTTTTCATTGTAAACCCAAAAAATTGTGAGACACCCTGAAAGGGATAATCGAGAATATTCATGATTTTATGCTTCACAAACTAACGAAACTTATATACTTAATTACAAGAAGTTAAACCGTTTCAATAAAAAGATGTTGTGTCCCAGAATACGTCTAAACTTCTGTGGCAAAGAACTTACAGAAAATAATATGATTCAAAAAAAAAATATTTTTCACCTATCTTATATCAGCAGTTATACCAAAGAACCAACATAAGCTACAATATAACCTTTTAACAAACCCATTAACCTAATGCAAGTGGGTAGACATGTAACAAGTTTTTCTAATAACAACGCTAGACATATCTGGATAAAGAAAACTCTCTAGGTCAATAAGCTTGAGGGTGGAAAGAACTCTAAAAGATAGTGAGTTAAACATATTGATCCACACACATATGACAACTATGCACGATGTGGACAAGGTTGTGGAAAAGGGTCAAGTTCATGATAAGAGTCGGGAAAGAATCCACAGTACTTGACACAGAGGTGCAACTATTGGCCCGAGTGATGATGGACAATCAAAGAGAAAAATACTAATAATATCCTGCCAAAAAGGGAACAAGTAGAAAATGAACTATATCGTATCTGAGATTGGTTGAGTATAAGTTTATTTGTAATGTATTTTAACTATCAATTAATTGCATTTGCATATATACACACGAATTTATAACCATTATAGATGTAAAGAAATACATCAAAAACAGATACAAAACTCTCAATGTTTCGTTCCGTGTAGGAATGTATCGAGAAGAACTTGAGTGTTTTTTTTTTCCTCAGATATCTCAATTCAATCTCAAGAAATAGATATTATCCATTGAATAAACTATCTTTAATTCCTCCAATCAAACACTTAGACTATGGACTGTCACTTGTTGCTTAATGACACAAGATTAGTCACAAAAACATTATATGCATCAAACCTTGTTAAAATACGTTTTGAAATGAAAACCATATTATGAACGAAAATGAGTATATCTATATCACCTCTAACATGGAAAGTAACATAGAGAAATTGGCGTGTCAGATTATATAGGTCACTAAATCATATTTTGTCACCAATAAAGAAGTTTGGGACAACGACATATATATGTTTCGAGATGACCACGTGGGACGCCATGATCATAATGATCCGTGTGTTGAAAAATACACAGGCACCTTCAGTTTTTTCCAGTGTAAGGCAAATAAGGAAATGATCCAAACTTTAACAGTTGACTTCTGCAGCACAAGAAACAACACCACCATCACAATATGTCTTCTCGAATACCTAGAACTTTGCAAACTCTGCTCCTTAGACAAAATAGGAATGAGACCATCCTAAGCTAATAACATAATCTAAAATATTCCATTCTTACTACAAGGTGACATTTATGGACATATACATCCAGAATGCAGGCCATTCAAGTACTTTATGGTTTTGGTTGAAGTTTTAACAGGATGAACCCATATCGGATCATTGTCGACATGAAATGTTGCACTCCTAACATCAGTTATACATTTAAGGCTCACCACCCTGATTATCTCATCAAGACTAAATGACTTGGTAATGCTAGAGGATTTATATCATAAGGATTCGATGATTATTGCATGTTAAGAGATCGATCTAGAGCATCATATACCCCACATATGTATACATAAAAATGGTCTCGCAGAAGCTGTCATCAAAAGGATATAGATGGGAGCTAGGACAGTAGTTATGTGCACCAATTTACCCACATTTGCATGGGGTTTTGCAATATTACTTACAACTTTACTTATTTGTTTTTGACCTACTACTAGCCAACCAATATCATAGGTACTAGTTGGTGACTGGATATAAGCCTAATCTTTTGCATTTACGCATGTTTGATTGTGTAGTATATGTGCCATTATGCCCCCACATCACACCAAAATGGGTCCTTAAAAATGATAAAGTACATATGTTGGATATGAATCTCCAACAATTATCCACTATTTCCCCCACAACGCATGATTTGCGGATTGTCACTTTGATGTCAGTCTTCTTGTCGTTAGGGATAAATAGGAAAAAAACATTTTACAAGGTAACAACAGGAACTGTCATAAATTGTTCCCATTCTGTCTCATTTTGATCCCCAAACTTCACAATGTAAATTTGAAGTCAAAGGAATTGAATAGGATATCTGATACGCTTAAGATTATTTCAAAAGTGACAAGATCACACATACGAGCTACAAATATACTCGATATTAAAAATCCCCAATAGAGCATAAGACCGCTGGAAAGTGCATTGCAATCACAAATAGTGGAGGTGTGTTAAGGTCTTAGCTACCCAAAAAAAATGGTGGATGATATTGGGTTCGATAGATACTTCTCTAAATGAAGAGAAGATGAAGGTATAACCATTTATCATCAATACATAAAACCTCTTAGTGATTTGTCTCTAAATATAACTATATTCATGAATCAATACTGGAAGACGATCCGAAGTAAATATTGATTTCAAAGAAGAAAGAAATCTCAAACAATCTATTAGAGTACATGAGTCGATGGACGGATCATAAATACCTATTGATGATAATTCACATATAGTATTGCTTATAAGATGATACAACATGATGACATTGAACCACACTCAATTGAAAAATGTCAACAAAGAGCATATTGGCCTAAATGGAAAGAGATAAAAAAAATTATATTCTTCAACACAGGAATGAGTATTTGGTTCGGTAGTGCTAACCCACCAAGTTTAAAGCCCTTAAGACATAGATGAGTCTTTGTTAGAATGAGAATACTGAAGTCATAATGTATAAAACTCTCTTTTGGTGCAATGTTTATCTCAAAATGCCCTGGGTTGACCATGAGAAGACTTACTCTCCCATGATATACGTTATGACATCCCACTATTTAATAACCATACTAGTTTTTGAAGGAGTGGATATATAGCTCATGGATGTAGTTACTACATATCTCTATGGGGATATAGATTTTGAGATGCATGTATGAAAGTGCCTGATGGCTTTACATTACCCAATTCAAGTAACTCTAAACCATGGAGTATGTTTCCAATGAAATTGAAGCACTCACTTTATAGTGAATCCATGCAGATGTGGTATACCACTAAGTAAATACTTGATTTGGGAATGGATATAAGAATGACGAATTGCGCCTTCGCGTACCTATAAAAAAATAAGTTACATAGTTTCATTGGTAGCTTTATATGTTGATGATATGAACATAATAAACACTCTTGATGAAATAAAAGAAGTCACAGGCTACTTGAAATCAGAATTTATTATGAAGATCTTGGGAAAACTCGGTTTTATACTAGTTATTTGACCTACGACACCAAACTTGTGGAATCTTGATCCACTGATTCACACATGTCCAAAAAATGATTAGGAAATCTAATATGGACAAAGCGTATTTGGCTACCACTCCTATGATCAAATGGAGTGTTGGAWA